TTGGATTTGGTTTAATTTTAATTTTTAAAAATATTTTATTTACTTATTTTTTAGAGGGGAAGGGAAGGAGATAGGGAGAGAAATATCAATGTATGGTTGCCTCTCGTGTGTCCCCTGCTGGGAACTGGCCTGCAACCCAGGCATGTGCTCAGACTGGGAATCGAATAATTTTTTTAAAATACCATAATTTGTATTTACAAAGTTATATTTATTTTCTTCAATTCTTTTACTTGTTTAGGTACATAAAGAAATATCTGACTAATATTATAGATTTAATTGACAGTTCTGGGAGATAGTACTGTAAGGTGAATCATCTCTACAAAAACTTTTTTTTAAAGTAAAGTTGAAGGATAAAATAATTAAGAATTGCTTAAACATAGGGCACATTGTGGGGTATTTTGACAGGGAGTGAAAGCGGGAAGGAGTTTGGGCAGTTGCTAGAATGATTTCTGTTTTACTTGGTAGGAAAAGAACACTGCGTGAGTATGGTGTCTTACTGTGTCTTTGTCTTTGTAAATCTGACTAGGGGTGTTTTATGGGAAACCTAGGGAGAAAGAAATCAAGTGTAATTTTTGTTGTGTTCCTGGAATGGCAGTGGTAAACTAAAAATAGTCTGATTTTCAGAGATTAGGCTAAATGAATGGAGAAGCAACCAATATACTTGAGTAGGAACAGTGAGAATGATTAAGAATTTTGTCTGTGAGATGAAACAGATAAAACAGTTCTTGTGCAAATCCATTATCATTTGTTTTCTTTTTTGCAAATTACAGTGAATTTCTTCGTAATCTTAGAGAAATTAGATTTTATATAACCAGATGAAAATGAAAGTCTGAGTGTTAAAACAGGCATCTTTCTCATTCCATCCCCTAAACTCTTATTTTGGAACTCTCTCACTTGAGTCAGATCACATACCATCCGAAAGCTTTTATTTCCTTATCTGGGAAAAGTGAGGCAAAATATTTAGAAGTATAGCATATATAAAATATTAGAAGTGTTAAGGTGTTAAATAAAAAAGGTAGATATTAGAAGCAGTCTTAATTTTCAGAAATTACATTTCTCTTTTTGGGAGAGGACTTACTCTAACATTCTTGTTTGTTATTACTATGTTTTTTCTTTTAAAGCAGTTGTGCAGAAATCATATTATCTGATGACTAACTTTAGTCCTGCCTTTTTTTTAAATGTTTTTAAATTTTAATGGCAGTTTTGAACAAGTCAGTGAGAATGTGAATAGTGACACCTAAAGTTTTTAATTTTTTTAGTAAGTCACTTTGGTAATATTTCTTTAAGTAATTTTACTGGTTGAATTAATAAGACCTTTTTGAAGTGAAATTTTCAAGGTGAGTTGTACTTTTTTCTCGTGTAGATAGCTTTGCTTTTCTTGGATAAACATTATTTTTGAGGTTGTCTTAAGATTTTATCTATTTATCTTTAAAGGGGAAGGGAAGGAGAGAGGGAGAGAAATATCAATGTATGGTTGCCTCTCATGCATCCCCTGCTGGGAACTGGTATGCGACCCAGGTAGTCATGTGCCCTGACTGGGAATCGAACCACGATCGTGTGGTTCACAGGCCGGTGCTCAATCCACTGAGTGACACCAGCCAGGCTTGTATTTGAGGTGTTTTTAAAATTAAAATTACCATTAGATAATTTTAAAAACAGAAGTAATTGGAAAGATGTTTGACAGGCAATAGGTAAATGTAAATAATGTGACATTTTTCAAGATGCACATTATTAGATTTTTCAGTGCTCAGAAATTTTATAGTTATCTACATTTCTGGGAACACTTTCTAAAAATAACCAGTGTATAGTAGACGTAGCACTTCACATTCTTCAGAACTTGTTTAGTATCACTTTTTATAATGTTCTCAGAAGTAGGCCAGTCCCATCATAGAGTATTAAATCCAGAGAGTAATTTTCTAAAGAATTTGTAAACTTGTTTTGGATTCTCATGTCTGGTTTGATACTAAGATCTTTATCCTGTTAAACATCTCAGTATGATAGTCCGAAGCCACCTTAAGGAAAATACGCTTCAGTCAGCTATATATGTTTTAAAAATATATAACTTTCCAAAAAAAATGGCTAAATATACATCAGAATAGAATTAAGGATATGATGCCTATTTCTGCCAAAAAAGTATATTTATAAAACACAAAATACTTTAGTTTAGATAGTTAAGGTCAGGTTTTAGGAAATGTGTTTATGTAGGTATTCATGTATTATTTCTAATTTAAAGAATGTAAATCTGTATGAGTTGTAAGTCATAAATGAGTTGTAACTGTTTCGAATAAATTCTTGAAGAGTTGCTAAGCTTTCTGAACCTTGATGCCAGTAAGCTTTCTTTGTGTTAGTTCTTTCTCTTCACTTCTCTGTTTACCAAAATGTTTGCTGCCTCTTGTGTGTATGCAGTTGAAGCTGCCAGTCAGGATTTCTTCTTTCTTTTTGCATTACAAACTCCTGCCCTGCTGTCTCCCCCTAAACAACATACCTGTGTTCCAAGTTGGTATTTAATTTCTATTTTCTGATTTCAAAAGCAATATTAATTTTACTTTAACTTCATCTTTGCTCCCGGTTTCATCATCTTCCTTTTCTGTCATTGTCTAGATCCGGCAATTTACCATGTCCTCTCTGTGAAGGACATGTAGACTATGTAGACTATGTAGACTATGTAGTTCATACATGTAGACTATGAACATGTATATTTTTATCGTTGAACGATAATCTCTTTGCACCAGCAATCCATTCTGATTACTGCTCCTTTCCTTTTCTTATTAACAGCAACAAAAAACCTTGAAGAAGTGTATGCCTTACATAGAATTCTCAACTTATTTTAATGTGACACCCACATACAGCCTTTGCAAAAACATTTTCACCAAGAACATCAGTGATGTTTTGTTACTGGCCCATGAGGATGTTCCTTCTTGGCTTTGTACATGAGTTGCAAAATGAGTTGTTCATGTCCATAAGTAAGATTTGAGAATGCTATTTAGAAATATTTTGTGCTGTTTATTTGGCATAGGTTTGGTCTTGATCACTGATAAGAAATTAAATACAGTGTCACTGTGGTTTTTTTTTTACTTTTTAATGTTGGTTTTTGAAATTCTAAATTCATTTTAAAGTTCTACATAGGAATGTTCTGTGTATGTCTATATAAGAATGTCAATTTAGACAAATGTAATTTTTGAATATTTTGACATGATGAGGAGTATGCAGATGTATTTTAAAGATGTAAAGTTTTAGGTTTATATAAGAGTTTAAGCAAAAATAAAAAAAATAGTAGACAAAACTATTACCAAAGTGTTAGCTGAGTTGTGCTTGAATCATGAACATACTTATCTCTTCTCTACTAATAAAAACCTTCTCTAGTTAGTTATTACCCGTTAATAGCCTCCAATGACTTAAATCATGTAGGGTATATACATTTTTAAAATATCAGAAGTTGATTATTAGTTGTGAATCACATGAATTAAATTTTGAATTCTGGCTTTGCTAGCTACTAGCTATGTTTGTTTTGTCAGATAAGATAGTCATTCAACTTTTTTAAACTTCAGTTTCCTCTGTTGTGTACAGTGTTGGCATGTATTTTGACACTTTTCTTATAGACTTACTATAGCCAGCATGTAGTAGTCAATAAATATTAGCTGTATTTTTATTATCATCATCACATTTTTAAAATAATTATTTGTTACCTGCTTTTCCTGTGAATTACAAATCTCTTTGAGTCCAAGACTTTCTCATATTTGTTATCTCACTACCTAGCCCGGAGTCTGACTTATAGTTGTGATTCTTTGTTAAATTGAAAAAAGTATGCAGCCAAAAGGGTACCTACATCTATTTTTAGGAATATGGAAAAGGAAAAGGAAAGGCTTGATGAGGGTATTAAAAACAAGTAACATCATTAGTCTTCTTTTCTGATATTTGGTTTTCTCCACTATATGTTTTTAATGTTTTTCTCTGTCAGGCCAGTTGTATCTAGAGTAGAGAGAACATTTCTTCAATGGTTGTCTGTTATGCTTATCAGTAAATCTAACTTTGGTGGTAAGATAAATTGTATTGACTGACTAAGTTTTCTTCTTAAACTATTTTGTGCCACTGGATGATCATAAGTGAATGAAAAAGGTTTCTGTTATGTGGAAATTGTATTTTTGGTGTTTATTCTGATTCAGTCTATGATTTTGATAATACTTTTTACTTGAGTTAATTTTCCAAACCCTAAGCATAATGCAATGCTATTTCCTTGGCTACTTTTATAAAGTGTGAAATATAAAATGTTTCGTAGTCTCTACAAGTCTCTTTTTTCGAATTGTCGGTCTTTATTGGTAAGAAATGGTAGGTTTCTTATTTTTTTCCTGAAAATTATAAAATAGGCAGCCAGCATTAAGGTATGCAAGAATGTCTTTAAGTATACATGGCTGCATTTGTGTATAATGACTCATTTTTTTAATGAAATCATTTGTGTTATGTGTATGTATATATTATGTGTGTATGTGCAGTTTTATGTTTAAACAATTTGATGTGTACTTTCGATGCATACACTAAATATTGCAGTGTTTCTGAAAATAATATTTTTATATTTAAATAAATTAAAATGGTAATATAAACCAATAAGAAAATATTGAGGTAAACATTAGTACTAATAAAATACTTATGTTATATCTTAATTTTACTACCAGAATATTTTTCCCAAGATTTTTGAGATTATCATATTGCTTATACCTAATGAGTATATCTTGGGATAAAATAATCATAATCATTTTATTAATCTTTTTAAACTTTCAATTAATTTTCTGTTAAAAGACTATCATGTGTTTTAAGTAAAGTGTCTGTTACTTTACTGTCTCATCCTACTTTTAGAAGACCTTCAAAATATATCCACTACTTTCTAAATCCAGTTTTATATGAGTTGAGTTAGAGATTGTATTTGTGAAAAGAACTTTTGAAAATAGTAATATTTTATTTTAAGTATCTGCTATTAATTTGTGGTTTGTGTCTTTTCTTTTTAGTGGATGATACTGACAAAATAGATCAGAATGGTTCTTCTGAAATGACTATAGACACAGAGTCAGAAATCAGTTCTTGTAAAGTGGATGGCACTTGCCCTGAAGTCATTAAGGTGTACATTTTCAAAGCTGACCCTGGAGAGGATGACTTAGGTAAGAGGAAACCTTCAGTATGTTATATATCCTTATTAAACACATCAACCTAAAGAAAAGTAGTAAAAATAATAGATTTCCAATGTACTTATATAAATTGTTGGAAGAGGTAATTATTTGTTAAAATGATACTGGTGAAAATTAACTTTCCATATGAATTCTTGGAGCTGTCATTTTTTTGTGCTAGGTGGCACTGTAGACATTGTGGAGAGTGAAACTGAGAATGAGAATAGAATTGAAGTACTAGACCAGAATGGCAGTATACGTGTGCCAAGAGAAAAGATGGTTTATATGACTGTCAGTGACTCTCAACAAGAAGATGAAGATTTAAGTAAGTAGGTGGACTTTTTCTGGGAAACTTTTATATATCTGTATCTTTTTAATTTAAAATGCAAGTATATTTGAATAAAGTAAACAACTGCTGTAAGCATGTTTTATATTCTTTATGTGAAATTGTAAAGAACCTCAGTTACTTTATGTGTCTGATGTCACTTGAAAAAGAAATTATGGTGGAAGCAAAACAATTCAACAAATCTATAGACCATTTGTTCAATGAAAATAATGTTTTAGGTATGTAGTATTTGAATCTTTTTCTGTTTGTTGACAGAATTGAAATAAGAGGTCATGTGTGATGTCTTATAAACTTGGTCCTAAAAGTGTCTTACTAATTTTGTAATTAGCTGTTGCAGAAATCACTGATGAAGTGTATATGGAGGTGATTGTCGGAGAGGAGGATGCTGCTGTTGCAGCAGCAGCTGCTGCTGTTCATGAACAGCAAATTGATGACAATGAAATGAAAACCTTCATGCCAATAGCCTGGGCAGCAGCTTATGGTACGTGACACAGCTCAAACTCTTCATAGTTCTTTTTTTTTTTTTTCATAGTTCTTGAATATAAACTTATAATTGAAAATAGTTTCTATATATAGTCTTTAAGAAATAGGAAATGCTAGTACAGTGAGTTAAGAAAAAGAGGAGGAAGCTTACATAGTTTTTTTCCCATTTAATTTTAACAAGAACTTCCTTTATGTCTGTTTTATATAAAATGTACATAGGCTTTCAACCTGCATTTCTTTATCTTGATTATAACTGGCCTATGACTTTATAATTTGAATCACAGTAAAGTATGTTCATGGGGCAAAATGATGTTAGATTTGAAGGTAGTTATTTCTTACAGTCTTCTCTATACATATGGCCATAAATCCATTATCTAGATGGAAATTTATCATTGAGTATGATGACCTTACTTTTCATTCCTGTAGTTAATAAGTTAATGTATAATGTATAATTTTGTTTTTTAATGCACATTGTTAGGTAATAATAATTCTGATGGAATTGAAAACTGTAATGGCACTGCAAGTGCTCTCTTGCACATAGATGAGTCGGCTGGGCTTGGCAGACTGGCTAAACAAAAACCAAAGAAAAGGAGAAGACTAGATTCCAGGCAATACCAAACAGGTGAGGGCAGATGAGTTCCACATCGTAGTGTGCTTTATGGAAGTTCAGTGAAATTAGTATGTACCACAGAGGTGGTATAGTGTGTTTTAGCTAATTAACTACCATGTATTTTGTGTATTGAATTGATAAATATATTTTAAGAATTCAGTGATATCCATGAATGATAACCTTGGATAAGAATAAGTTGTTTTGCATTCAGACATTCAGGAAAAAGAGTTAAAACCTTAGGTTATTTTAGTGGAAATGAAAATAAATTCCTGAAATATGTTTGTTAGCTTTAAGTGAATATATATAAAGAATTTGTTACTGTCAGCATAAAGTAGGCATCATTTACAGAGAAGTAAGACAAATACTTTGGTTATTTATTAGACATACACTTTTGTAACATTGTGTATACTGATTTGGATATCAAAATTTTTCTATAGTTGAGTTAAATGTGTCATGGAATAAATAAGTTTTCAGTGTTGAACTTTTTTGAATGATTTACATTAGATATTTAAATTTAGCTTTAAATTTATACAGTGAAATTGGTATAGTCAGACTGAATGAAGTTTCTAGACCATATTCTCTCTCTTTTCTTTAAGAGATTTTATTTTAAAGGGGGGAAAGGAGGGAGAAAAAGAGAAAGAGAAACATCAGTGTGTGTTTGTCTCTTAGCATGCTCCCAACCAGGGACCTGGCCTACAACCTAGGCATGTGTCCTGAGTTGGAATTGGACCAATGACCCTTTGATTTACAGGCTCACTCTTAATCTACTTAGCCACAGCAGCCAGGGTTGGACCAGATTTTCTTTATTACTAGATTACTGTATGTTGTTTGTTGAAATAAAATAAAAGTATGTTAATGTAATTTAGGAGCACTTGTCCAGTGGTGTGTAGAATATACACTTTATATTCTTGAAGAAATTAGAACAGAACTTGTTGTTCTCTCATGTTTTTTTCTTTTCTTAGCAATAATAATAGGCCCTGATGGACATCCCTTGACTGTCTATCCTTGCATAATTTGTGGGAAAAAGTTTAAATCCAGAGGTTTTTTGAAAAGGCATATGAAAAATCATCCTGAACACTTTACCAAGAAGAAGTATCACTGTACTGACTGTGATTATACTACCAACAAGAAGATAAGTTTGCACAGCCACCTGGAGAGCCATAAGCTGTCTGGCAAGGTAGAGAAAGCCATTGAATGTGAAGAATGTGGGAAGCGTTTCTCTCACAGTGGGGCTTTGTTTACTCACAGAATGGTGCACAAAGAAAAAGCCAACAAAGTGCACAAGTGTAAATTCTGTGAATATGAAACAGCTGAACAAGGGTTATTGAATCGCCATCTTTTGGCAGTCCATAGCAAGAACTTTCCTCATATTTGTGTGGAATGTGGTAAAGGTTTTCGTCACCCATCAGAGCTCAAAAAACACATGCGAATCCACACAGGGGAGAAGCCATACAAATGCCAGTACTGTGAATATCGGTCTGCAGACTCTTCTAACTTAAAAACACACATAAAAACTAAGCATAGTAAAGAGATACCATTTAAGTGTGACATTTGTCTTCTGACTTTCTTAGATACCAAAGACGTGCAGCAACATGCACTTATTCACCAAGAAAGCAAAACACACCAGTGTGTGCATTGCGACCACAAGAGTTCGAACTCAAGTGATTTGAAACGACACATAATTTCAGTTCACACGAAGGACTACCCCCATAAGTGTGACATGTGTGATAAAGGCTTTCACAGGCCTTCAGAACTCAAGAAACACGTGGCTGCCCACAAGGGTAAAAAAATGCACCAGTGTAGACATTGTGACTTTAAGATTGCAGATCCATTTGTTCTGAGTCGCCATATTCTCTCGGTTCACACGAAAGATCTTCCCTTTAGGTGTAAGAGGTGTAGAAAGGGATTCAGGCAACAGAATGAGCTTAAAAAGCATATGAAGACACACAGTGGCAGGAAAGTGTATCAGTGTGAATACTGTGAGTATAGCACGACAGATGCCTCGGGCTTTAAACGGCATGTTATTTCCATTCATACGAAAGACTACCCCCACCGTTGTGAGTACTGCAAGAAAGGGTTCCGAAGACCTTCAGAAAAGAACCAGCACATAATACGGCATCACACAGAAGTGGCCTCACCCTGACATTTCTACAGATGTTTGGAGAGATCCTGTCCTTAAAGTAGAAAATTGATTTTAAAGCCTGTTAGTCTTGTATGTGAATAAGATATACATTACATTCATTTATACTGTGTACAAATAAAATATTGCTTCTAGTTGACTTTTTTAAAACATTATTTCATAGGGAATTCTGTTTTTGTTTTTTTTTAATGAGGGCAAAGTAGCAACAATCAAGTTCTTTTATTTAAATAATCCCTGATCTTACATTGAATGTTTAAGTCTTAGAACTTTATTTATTTTATTTACTTTATTCACTTTGATGGTACTCTTCTCAGACTACTTAAAGATGAAAAATGATGAAATTGGGGACTCTAAAAGTGATGGTTTGGTTTTGTTTCCCTATGAATTTTTCATGTTAATATATATCTGCTGAGTGGGAGATACTACTCAGGTATAATTATAATATGAAAATCATTTCCTTTTAGTATTTTGAGATCACATGACAATGATGCTACCGAAGAGAACTTTGGTAGACTTGTATTTAATTTTTATTTGGTTTAGCAGACAATATGCTTCCTCTGACTGACTTTGTAAGTGTTTACATACTGTCCATATAACACACTTAAAAATTCTTACTGAAAGGTTTTGATTACTCTTGTTTTCTTATGTCTATCTATACTGCTTTTCTTGGAAATACTTGTGTTCTGCAAATGAGACTTACTATGAACTAAGGTTTGAAAAATTTTTGAGGTAAATTGTGGTCATAGGGTTTTTTGCAACTGGATGTGAAAATGTATTCTAAATTTAATATGTGCTTCTCTGTTGCTTATTTTACATACATATACACAATGCCAATTTTGTCACTGCTGAAAAGTATTAAATGTACAACAAATGGGAAGATCCAGGGATATAAGGAAAACCATTTTTGCACACTTTCTATTCATAGAGATTAAAATTCAAGTGTAGGTTCAGAAAGAAAGACTCATTTTTAAAGACTAAAGGTAATCTTTTATTTTGACTAATTTTGGTAATTCAGAAAAGAAGTTACTTCTACATAAAATATGTTCTTAACAATTTTAGTGTCACAACTTAATTACTAGTTTTGAAAAGCTCATGACTATTCAGACATTAATATCGTTTCTCAGTGAGAAGCCTGGAAAAAGATACGTCTTTTTACAAAAGTAGGGTGTACTTAGGAAGCAGTGACTTCATGTACTAGAGAATTATACAAATTATACTTGACAGATTCACCCTGCTTTTTTCAGCAGTTAGCAGAGTTGGAAAGATTTAACACAACTGTTTTTTAAGAACTTATTCTTTTAGAAGATAAGGTAAAGGTGTAATGCACATATTGAAAAATGTGAGGCTTTATTTGGAATCACCAAGTCTTTCACAGTTTTTTCTTTTTATTTGAAAGTTAACATAAATAGTCATAAATGTAGATGGAAAATTAATTAAAATAGTACTGGGTTTTGTTAATACAGGTTACTTAAATTGGCTAGGGCACTTAAGGAGATTTGAAATTTGTATTCCCTCTAATAGCTACAATGCAACTCCTGTTAAGGTGCTGCCATCTACTGCTGTGATGTGTTTACCTTTTGCCTTTGTGCCGCTAATACTCATATTCAGAAGTTATATTTATTGGGTAAGAAATCTAATTCTTTGGTGGTTTTGAGAACTTATGAAGGCTAGATTAATTTAGTTCCAAATCAGATGTTTTAGACACATACTAATTTAAACCTAAAGCCAACCAAAGCCACAGAAAGGATTTTTGGTACCTCTTAAGCCCTTTTGGCTCTTTCATATATCCCCTTTTTAGTATTCATCCATGGTCCTGTTCTTGAAAACTCTTATTTTTGTGTGTGATAATTTTTAAAAAATCTCCCAAGAAATTGTTTTCCCTGAAGTAATGTAGAAGAAAATGTTTAAATGAAAGTTTACATTTAAAACAAGATAGCTATTTATATTTTTAAAATATACTTAACAAAACATGTTACATACTTTATTTTCTCACAATCTGAATTCATGCACAATATTTTTGTTTTGTTTTTAGCACAGTATTGAAACCTTTAAAAGGTATTTAAATTTTGGTTTAGTGAATATAAAGCCTTTAACAAAAAAAATTGTTATTGTTCTTACTGGTATGTATTGATACTAGTTGTAGGCTATTTTATTTCTTAAAACAATTTGATTAGCAAAGCTAAGAAATTGGATGTTTCTGTTCAATGTTTTAAAGAGGTCCAGATTTATACAAGAACATAATTTATTGTTATATAGAAATAGCTTATTAAATATTATGTCTTCCTCTGTACACATTGTAAAATACTTAAATTCATACAGAAAAGAATGACACTATTGTAAATGTGTACTTGAGATTAACATGCAAAAATAAAAATTAGAATATTTTTATGCAAATCACTGTCCAGTGTATTTGATACTAGTTAACAATTTAATTTCCCTGATGCGTTACTATATTAATATTTTAATTTTTTAATTATTTTTCAAGTACTGTTGTTGCCATTTTTCCCCATGACTTGGACACACTTCACCTACCCCTCCTCCAAAACTCAGTTCTACATCCCATTCACTTTGTCCCTGGGTCTTTTATGTGTGTTCCTTGACAAACATTCCCTTTTGTTTCTCTCTCTATCCCTGTCTCTCATCCCATCTAGTTACTGTCAGTTTGTTCTTTGTGACTCTGGCTCTGTTTTGCTTTCTGGTTTGTTTTGTTGCTTAGGTTCCACTTATAGATGAGATCATGTGTTATTTGTCTTTTACCAATTGGAGTATTGTACTTAGCATAAGCATAATGGTATATTTCCAGCCATAGAATTTCTGGATCAACAGGCAGTTCCATTTTTAATTGTTTTGAGGAAATTCTATACTCTTTTTCTATAGAGCCTATATTTGTATTACAGTGTACTAGGGTTCCCTTTTCTCCATACGCTTGCTAGCACCTGTTTTTGCTTTGTTTATGATGGCCACTCTGACTGGCATGAAGTGGTATCTCACTGTGGTTGTAATTTACATCTCTGTGATGGCTAGTGATACTCAGCATCCTAGTATATCTCTGGGCCCTCTCTGTGTTGTCCTTGGAGAAGTGGCAGTTCAGGTGTTCGTGTACTTCTTAATTGGATATCTGATTTCCTGGAGTGGAGTCATGTTGGTTCTTTATATATTTTGAAGATCAAATACTTCTCTGAGGTTTCACTAGCAAATATTTTCCCCTATTGTGGGTTACCTTTTGTTTTACTGATGTTTTCTTTAGTTGTGCAGAAGCTTTTTAATTTCATGAAGTCCCATTTATTCTTTCCTTTATGTCCCATGTTATATAGAATATATGGGTGAAAATATTGCTGTGTGAAATACCTGAGATTTTCCTGCCTATGTTCTCTCCTAGGACTTTAATGGTGTCGGGACTTGTATTTTACTCTTTTCTACATCTGAGTTTATTTTTGTGTATGGTGTTAAGTTGATGGTTGAGTCATCATTTTGCACGCAACTGTCCAGATCTCCCAACACCCTTTGTTGAAGAGGCTATTTTTACTCCATTTAATACTTTCCCCCCTTTTTAAAAATATTAATTGACCATAGACATATGGGTTCATTTCTGGGCTCCCTATCCTGTTCTGTTGATCTATGTGTCTGTTTTATGATAGTGCCTGACTTAATTTTTTAACACAGTGCACTTCTAATACAGTTTGATATTAGGTATCGTGATCCTCATACTTTGTTCGTGTTATTTGGGGTCTTTTACAGTCCCCTATAAATTTTTTAGATACTTATTCTATATTGTTAATACATGACATGGGTATTTTAACTAGGATTATGTTGACTATAAATTCCTTTCTTTAGTATGGACATTTTATGATATTAATTCTTTCAGTCCATGAATACACTGTGTTCTTCCATTTGTTTGTGTCTTCCTTAATTCCTTTCTTCATTATTGTGAAGTTGTCTGAGTACAGGTCTTCTACCTCTTTGGTAAGGTTTATTTCTAGGTACCTTATTCTACTTGTTGCTCTAGTGAATGGGATGTTTCCCCTGATTTCTGATTTTGATACTTTGTTGGCATAAAAATGTCTTAGATTTCTGAATACTGACTCTATGTCCCACTATTTTGTCAGATTCACTTACTAAGTCAAGTAGGTTTTAGTGGAGTCTATACAGTTTTCTATGTATGCCGTCACAAACAGTGACAGTTTTACTTCCTGTTTTACAATTTGTATGCTTTTTATTTCATTTTCTTGTCTCATTTCTGTGGTTAGGATTTCCAATGCTATGTTGAATAGAAGTGGTAAAAGTTGACATCCTTGTTTTGTTCTTGATCTTAGTGGAAAAGATTTAAGTTTTTGCCCATTGAGTACGATGTTTGCTGTAGCTTTCTCATATGTGGCCTTTATTATGTTGAGGAATGCTCTCTCCACTCCCACTTCGATGAATGTTTTATTATAAATGGGTGCTGTACCTTATCAAATGCTTTTTTTGCATTTGTTGATATGATCATGATTTTTGTCTTTGCTTTTGTTGTGATGTATTATGTTTATTGATTTGTGAATATCGTACCATTCTTTGGGATGAATCCCACTTGATCATGATGTATGGTCTTTTTAATATATGAATGTGATTTGCCAATATTGTGTTGAGGATTTTAGCATCTGTGTTCATCAGTGATAGTACCCTGTAGTTTTCTTTGTTGTTTCTTTCTCTGGCATGGGGATTGATTACGATATTGCTGGCCTCACAGTAAGAGTTTGGGAGTCCTTCCTATTCTTAGATTTTTGTAATGGTCTGAGAAGGATAGGGGTGAGCTCTTCCTTAAATGCTTTGTAAAATTCTCCTGTGAATCTGTCCAGTCCAGAGCTTTTGTGCACTGGGAGCTTTTTCATTGTTGCCTTGATTTTGTCAGCTGTTACTGGTCTGTTCAGATTTTCTGCTTCATTTAGTCTTTGAAGATTATATTTTTCTAGAAATTTGTCCATTTCACCTAGGTTTTCTAATTTTTTGGTATATAGTTCCTTGTAGTAGTTTCTTACCATTCTTTGTATTTCTGTGGTGTCAGTTGTAATCTCTCCTCTTTCATTTCTGATTGCTTTTATTTGGGTCCTGGTTCTTTTTTTTCTTGATGAGTGTGCTTAAAGTCTTGTCAATTTTATTTATCTTTTAAAAGAAACAGCTCCTGCATTTATTGATGCCTAGAATTGTGCTTTTAGTTTCTGTGTCATATCATTCTGTTCTGATCTTGGTTATTTCCTTCCTTCAACTTGCTCTGGGCTGTCTTTGTTTTGTTGTTCCTCAAGTTCTTGTAGGTGTAGGGTTAGGTTGCTTGTTTGAAATGTTTCTGTCTTTTTTAGGTAGGCCTGTATCACTATGAACTTTCTTCCTAGGACTGCCTTTGCCATGTCCAATAAGTTTTGGGTTGCTGTGAGTTCATTTTTGTTTGTTTCCAGAAACATTTTGATTTCTCCCTTGATCTTATTCTTTATCCACTTATTGTTTAATAGCATGCTATTGAATCTCCATGAATTTGAGTGTTTTTCAGTGTTTTCCTTGAGCTTGGTGTAAAGTTTCAGTCCCATATGGTCAGAGAAAATGTTTGATGTGATTCCAAATTTTTTAAATGTGCTGAGGCTTGTTTTGTGCCCTATCATGCGATCTGCCTTTGAAAACATTGCACATGCAACTGAAAAGAATGGGTACTTTACTTCTTTGGGATGAAAGCCTCTATATATATCAGTTAAGTCCATTTGATCTAGGACATGGTTCAGTGCCACAGTATCTTTGTTGACAGTTTTGTTTGGAAGATCCATCTATTTTTAACAGTGGGTCATTAAAATCCCCAAGTATAATTGTGTTTCTGTCAGTATCTTTCTTGAAGTTTGTCAACATCTTCCTTATGTATTTGGGTGCTCCTGTGTTGGGTGCGCATGTATGTGTACAATGTTGATGTCTTGTTGATGGATTCTCCCCTTGAGTATTATGAAGTTACCTTCTGGGTCTGTTTTTATCACCCTTGTTTTAAAATCTATTTTGTCTGATAGGAGCAATGCTGCCCTGGCTTTTTTTCCTGTCCATTTGCTTGGAATAGTTTTTCCAACCCTTCACTGTCAGTCTGTATAGGTCTTTTCTTCTGAGGTGGGTGTGTTATAGACAGTGTTTGTGTGAGTCATGTTTTGTTATCCATTCAGCTATTCTGTGTCTTTTGATTAGACTGTTTAACCCATTAACATTTAAGGTTGTTAATGATAGGTTTTTATTCATTTTTCCTCCTTTTTACCTGTGTTTCTCTTTCTATTTTTCTTCCCCTTCTTTTTATACTAGTACCTTTATCATATCTTGCAGTGCTGGTTTGGTGGAAATGTATTCTTTCAGCCTTCTTTTGTCTTGGAAACTCCTTATTTGTCCTTCCTTTTTAACTGAGTGTCATGCTGGTTAGAGTAGTCTTGGTTGCAGGCCTTTGTTTTTCATTACTTGAAATGTTTCTTGCCATTCTCTTCTGGATTAGAGTTTCTGTTGAGAAATCTGCTGCTAGCCTTATAGAGCCCCTTTATATGTTACTTCTTAGTTCTCACTTGTTCTTTTAGGATCTTTGCTTTAAAACTTGGCAAAGTTTTCAGATTAGGCATTTTGGGGTTCCTCTTGATTGGTACTCTGTGTGCCTCCAGACCTTGCTGTTTTATTTTACCTCTCCAGGTGTGGACAGTTTTCTGTGGTTATTTTAAACATTGTTTCTATCCCTTACTCATTTTCTTCTCTTTCTGGTATTCATATGATTTGAATGTTGCTGTGTTTCAGTTCATATTATCCTGCAGTTCCTTTAAGCAATATTCATATTTTTTTAGTCCTTTTTCATGCAGTTGCTCTACCGTGGTGTTTCTTTCCACCTTGTCTTCTGGCTTACTAATTTGGTGTCTTATGCAGCCTGCTTGTAATTCCTGCTAGTGTGTTTTTTATTTAGGAAATTGTGATTTTTCATTTCTTTTTGTTTTTTTATAGTTTCTATTTCCTTTTTCATACTGTTGTAGTTCTCATTCAGTTCCTTGTAGTTGTCTTTGAGTTCCAGGAGCATCCTTATAACCATCCTTTGGAAATTTTATATTTGATAGTTTGCTTATACCTCCACTGGTTTAGCTCTTTTAGTGGGGAGTCTTCCATTACTTTTAATTGAAGGTTCTGTTTTGTCTCCCCATTTTAGGTGACTCTTTTTGTTTGTTTCTGCACTTTCTCATGTTTCGCTTTGCTAGCTTTTTGTAGGGGAAATTCTATGATAGGAATTCTGTGAGGTTCAGTGGTATGGTCTCTTGATATCCCTGTCTGGATTTTCTAGAGTTGCCTTTTCTTTTTTGTGTGTGGGCTCTCTTGTTGAACTTGGGATTTTGACCTGTTGGTGGTTCCTTTGTTGGTGAGGGGTGTTTCCCAGCAGGTATATTGGT